TTTTCATTTTATCAAATTGTCAATCTGTAGACCTATTGTCTTGTCAACTTGTGCATTATAATTGTATTTTTATGTATATCAAATTTTCAAGCTGTCGACTTGTCAACCATAATGATATTCAGTTTGTCAAATTGTCAACCTCAACAGTTGACCTGTCGACCAGTCAACTGGTATTTGCAATTTCATTACATAGTTACAATGTCAACTTGTCGACCTGTCGACCTGTGCACTTATTAAAATATAAATAAAAACTAATAAAATTTTCTAACTGTAATCTAAATGTAAACATTAGAAAAAATTATGGTATTAATTTTATTAGCGTAGGAATGCATATTAATTTACCGGAACTACATATCCTTATAAATCCAGTTGACCCATATAGCGTTTATTTTTTATCGCATTGTAAATATTTTTAACATTTTAATATTTACATACTAAATAGTGTGATAAAATAACATTGTTATGCAATTTATATTTATAAATCTTAAATATGGACCTTCATTCAGTGAATGAGATAATATGTCACTGATTTTTGTTAAAATTTTGCATACAACTTTTACACCTTGAAATTTAACTAAAAATCAAAAAAAATATTTTATGGTAACTGTCAAACTTGCTAAATTATATATCATTGAATGAAAATCTAGAAAAAAATTTAATATTTGTATAGAATGTTTATAAAACCTAGCAGAAAATTAGTTCAAATTATCTTTAAAAGCTCCTTTCTCTCAACCCACTGCATTGATTTGTCTAAAAAATTGATATGTTGTTGTCATATAAATGTAATGGTGTAAAATAGTTTTAGGGGTCATCAACTTGATTTTTTAGAATACATTAGTCAAAATGGTGTTTTTCCTCTTATAAAAATCTGTGACTTGACACATTCACTGTAACGTGACCATAATGTATAATTCAAATAAGGTCAAAGATGAAATCGTGACCATAAAGTTCAAAAGTGTTAAGAGAGTTGAAGATTATCAGCTGTTTAAACAGTAACTTTACTAGTATATTTGTAGTTCACACCATAATTAGCCTACAATAAGTTTAAATGTTACATGTACAGTGTATATCCAACTTAAATCTTGTTCATTGTAATAATTCGTGGGGCAACAAAATAAACATATAAACTTAAATGACAATGGGTACAGATCTAACAACCGGTGTATTTTTAAGTAACACTCTGTCAAAAGTTTTAGAGAAAAAAAGGTCTTTGAAGTGGTTTTTATTGGTTTATCTCAAACTATTACAGTGAATACCTGTCAAAATTTCATTTTACCGGACAAGTTTATGTCTAGATAAATTTTACTACTTTCGTTTTTTGTTCATAGAAAGTTGAAAATAAAAAAAAACATTTCAATCAAGTAGTTGCTTTCAGCGGTATTTTCCAGATTCTTAAACAAACAAAAAAACATAGCCCTAACCAAAGGAAACATTCTGATTCAGGCTGCTACTGACAATAAAGATATTGATTCAATACAGGCAAGACAAAACTATACATTGAGTAATGATTCAATATTGAAATCTTCTTCCTCCATTTAATAATGTACAAGATGTAACACTTCATGTATATATAAATAATTTTGTCACATCTTTGGATGGTGGATGAACGTCACAAGTGTAAATCAGAGTAAACAATTTTTAATAATAATCTTTCACACCTAAAACTCTTTCACACCTAAAACTCTTTCACTTTTGACTATGAAGTTTTATGAAAAAACATGTACTGGAATGAAAAGTTCGCTGCACAACTTTTTTAGCAAAGATAAAAATATAAGGTTGAGCATCATTTTTCACCATTTCTAAAATTTAACATATTAACTTTGGACAATCCCTTCCTTCACATGTAATTTGGGTCCTCCTAAGAATAAGATTTTATTTTGACTGCTTTTCAACAGTGTTCATACTGGTAAAATCTATGTTATTTACTTGGGGATCATATCTTGGAACATGTGAATAGGAAACAAAATAATAATAACAAATGTATCCTGTAGTACAAATTGATTGCTGCTCTTTATCTTGACACTGGCTGGAGGTTTTCAAAGATGAACTAAAAAGGCTTGAGTTAAACAGCAATTTTAAGACAGATTCTAGCATCTACCAATATTTAGGTGGTACTAATTGAGAACCACTTTATAAGAAATGAAATGACTGCAGGCAGGAATTATCAGTACATTTTTTATAAACTTGTAAAGGTTGATCAACAAAATATTACTATCTACCATCTGAAAAAGGATCAGTCAAAGGGAGAAAACTTTTTTACAGCTCAACAGATTTTTTCAACTTATCTGAAATAAGAGGGAGAAATCTTTTGAGCTGTAAAAAAGTTATCTCCCTTTGACATTTCTGGGTTCAACATTAACTTTTTAACAAGGTGTCTGAAAGTGAGAAGCACTTGTCCTAACTAAGCTGCCACGTTCATCTTGAATTTGGGATTGATTTTGATTTGGTTTTGATATGCATATTGCTTTAATAATACAGAAATTATATGGACATACTTTTTACCACAAAAAAAAACTCCAAATAAATTAGTGACTGAACATGAGAGAGCTCATTATATTTGTTTATATATTTTTTATATCCTTAATTTCATATTTGGCGATTTGGGTTTACATCATTGTGTCATGCATTCTTTAAAAGTTTTACCTAAAATAGTTCGGTCTCAGATGATTTGTCTATCAAAATGTGTGTCAACAACCAAATCGTACTATGATTGGTCAATCAATATCATTTAGATGGCTACACTGCCGCTATAGTAAGAAAGGGAAAATACAGGGTCTACTAAAAATAAGAGAATTTGACAATATTGTCAGAGCTGATTGATATGATGATTTAATGATAAAAAGAGAAATAATTGAGTCTGAATTCGGCATTTTTCCAAGTTTCAACTTTTTTACTTGCCCATTTGACAATACAGCTTTTACTTGCATGTGAATGACTTTCACTTGTCCCAGGCAAGCTTTTAGTGTCATACCCAGATACCCTGCATTATTAAAAAAGTTTTTGTCGTAATAATATTTAGAATTGCAGTCTGAAACTTTACAAGAACAAACTATTTCTGTGTACAAAATTCAAACTAGCTTTTACCATGATTTTTTTTTTTTTGGGGGGGGGGGGGTGGGGATTTTTTCACAGTATAATTAGAAATATATTGCATAATTATATTCAGCAGTATTTCCTTGAAGATGACTTTTACAATTGTAAAATTTCCAGTACACTTCTGATATCACAATGCTTATGTTATTATGTCACAGTAAGAGTCAAAGTTCATGTTAGGACATCATATACACTTGTAGGAGAGAGAGTTCGAGGATAGTCGTTATATCAATGTGGAAGTTGAAATTATTGTATCACATGACATTTTTCTATGCATCGGTTTAGTTTTTCACACAGACAAATTTACCAAATGGCATATTACGTTTTATATTGATCTAAACATTGCATAGATTTCTGAAGTAATCGTGTGACTTTTGATTGTAAAATGAAATTGGATGCAGAAAAACAGACTCTCAGAACTCTAGTATTGATCCCAGCTCAACAGGTAGAACTCATTGACATAAAAAAAATTAAAATTAGTATATGATGTCCACAAAATTTCAAATTGCACAAGTTTGCAAATGAAATGAGAGAAACAGGAATTTCACTGAAACATTGCCAAGGGATAACAATTATGCATACATACCACTTAATGCTAATATCTTCTGACAAATAATTTTACTTCATTTGTAACAAATTCTCTCTTTTGGTTGATTTTATTAAAATATATAAGGAAATGCTCTGTTTTCTGTATTTCAACATGTTGTGAGAAGATACACCTGCATGGACATGATGTAATATTGCTATATGACATCTGCGACTTTGGAATTTTTTTTATCATTTTCAGACAAAGCAATATCTAAGCTTGCTAAAGTACATGTATGTCAATTTATTTCATAGGAACTAAAAACTTCAAAATTAAACTCTACACTTATCTTTTTTTATACAGTGTAAATTGTTAAATTTCAAGTGGCATAAATATTTGATAAGTTCAGATTTAGAGAAGGAAGAAGACGAAATTAACATACACGTCTTTTTGTAAGACTATTTTTATTTTTTATTTTTTTGCTGTGCCAACTTCCCATGAAGGCGTCACAGCAAAAAAATCATTTTAAATAGCCTTACACAGACCTCATAAATATTTAAACTAGACTAATGGCCGGAATGATGACAACTGTTTAGTTCATTTTACATACATGTGCCTTCTTTCGTTTCATTTTGATACACAATTATAGCAATAATATAAGATTAATGTCCCATTAAGTGTTGTATGCAAATTTGTCTGCCATAACTTACAGTCAAACAAGTTCCCGTAAAAATTTAACATTTGACGTAGTATAAATTGAAAATTTGTTACATGACACCAGAAGGTTATTCAGAGACAGACCTAGGGTCATTCAGAGCTAAATACATAAAAGTGTAGATAGGTCTATTTTATCAATGGTTAGATTAAGAAGCGACAGTAACAGGTCCTCGTACCCTTTTCAAAGACTTTCACATTTGTGCAATTTCCCGTACAATTCTGATGTCACATAATGCTTATCTTATTACGTCACAGTAAGTCAATTGTTCGATGATGTCATCTGCGCAATTGATCACATTGATAAGAAAGCTTTAGCTGCAACAGAATTCCTATTAGACAATATTCAAGAAAATCTGATTTTATATCAGTAACTGGCTGTTTGGCCAGTACTGATCCTAAGACTAATCGTTGTCAAGCTGTACCAGGACTGGGATATCTTCAAATTGTAAATGAAAGATTAGAAAAAAGGTCTACTGTTACAAATTTGATAAAAAATATAAATGCCTTAAGTACTGCAACCGGGCCACATTTTGAACTCATCTTCTTTTTACCTTACCCGTTAACTGTACTGACTGTTGATCCTTGATTGAGGATCGTAAGTCAGAATGTGTAGTATTTCATTTAGCACCTAATTCATTTATGATGTTTGTCAATCTTATCTTACCTGATCTTTGCTGCACTGGTTGATGAAAACAGGTAAACAGCATGAAATAAAGCAGGAAATAGGTAAAGCGCTTGGCGTTACTACTAGCAACAACAATCAAGATTTCGGTTGGACAAAGTTAGATAACTCATTTCCCGCCAAATAATAAAACCCGAAACATTTTTTTAAAATAAAAATCTATACGATGTTATTTGTATTATCTGGTTCTGTCCTGGCCTTATAAAACAGCTATTGTAAAACTGAGTTGTTTTCTTTTATGTTTCTCAATTTATGTCTAATATTATGAATTTGTATTTAATGTGATAAAAGGTTTACTAGTAGGGCCCTTTTATCTGAGACTACGTTATAGTAGTCTCAGCTTTTATTGGAACTATCACTGAGACTACTATAACATCTCAGATTGGAAATACAATATTCTTATTCTTATTTATCTATACGTAATATCAGAGGTCCATGACATTCATGGAGTTCTGGTTGTATACAATGCAATAAAATCTAAAAATGAAGATTGATAAAACCAAAGGCTATTTTTTTTTAATTTTTGTCTTGGAATAAAAATAGGCAGTGACTATTTGGTCCTATTTTGTCTGCTCTCAGGGAAAATAGCCTCCTATGCCTTATAAAGAGTTTCGCTATTTTGCCAAACTTAATTAAAGATTTTCAGTTAACTTAATTAAGAATAGAAAGAAATATAGAAACATACACTTAAATAAGAAATCTGTAAAGAAAAAAAATGTCTTCTTTAACAAATTTATACATAAGCAACGCATCCATATTGCATATTTTGAACTTTGGTTATCTCATTGACAATCATGCCACGTCTTCTTATTTTTATTTATTAAAATTGAATTCTAATTAAGAATTTCCCATAATTTGTTTAATTATAAGTTACTTTACGTACACTTTAATAAGAAGTCTCTAAAAAAAACAAATCTTTTTAAAAAATATAGTACATATGCAAAGCAAAGCATGTATATTAAAATTGATATTCTAATTAAGAATTATAATACAAATATACAATAAGTTTTGAAATTAAAAGTAAAATTCCAACAACCTCAAAATTACACACACACAGCAATACCTTATTGCACCATAGACTATAAACATAGAGTTTGGGATATTTCAACAAAATAATTGGTTTAGTGTAAACAATATTATTTTATTTTGAAAATATTAACGTAAACATGACAATATGACAGTTTTATTAGGATTGGAAAACATGTGAATTTTTCACTTTTACAAATTCCTCTCCCATATGATATATGATATAATAGTAGATGGATGGCGTCAAAATTTTTTTTTAACTGAAACTGAGACTACTAGTAGTCTCAGACTGAAATAAGAAGTGTTTGTTGACCAAATCCACTACTGTACTACAGTGCTACCAAACTACACAGGTAATATAAATATTAGTTAACGACAATTTATTTTATACATAATTATATATCTCAATGCATGTTTATGAAATTCACACCAATCTCTTTGTTTTAAGAATACAATCTTGAAAGTTATCAGTATTCTCAATGTCGGGTATCAAACTTTAAGGATTACCATACAGTAAGTTATGTATATTAGGCTGACATGACAAGTTACTCAGCATACACTCTCTAAGTAATTGGTATTGCTGACAACGCAATAAAAAGGTTCAGATGTTCCAATCTGTCTACATTTACAAAAAGGATCGGTAACTAATTTTTTCCTATACAAATATTCATTCAGACCACTGCTCTCAGTTCTGATTCTAGTATGCAAAATTTGTCTTAGTCTACTACCACTGTAAAAATATTTTGGGACAACCAAAGTTTTCTTTAAAAACTTCTTAAAAATATATAAGGAAGAATTTTTGATATGAATCGGAATCTCGTTCCACAGACGGACAGAAGAAGGAAGAAAACTGTAATGATAATAATTCGTTCCTGTATGTATGTTAGGCACGTTTCCTGCGTTACGTGTCCCATACGGATGTGATTGGCCATAGTTGGTAGGGACTAAATTGGAAAGATATAGGCTGGAAAATTATTGTTAACTATCTGATGAAACAAAATAAGCTTGTGATTTTTTCGCCTTTCCCTGAGAGTTTCCCATTCGGTCTCTTTTAGAAGAATTTGCAGAGTTTTTGCCCCAGTAACTATACGTGCTACCTTATAATTAATTTGTTCCAGTCGATCTTTCAAATGCTCTGGACAGTTTATCGGCATACTCTAAAATAGGTCGAACAAACGAAAAATACATGACTTCAAGCGTTTTCCTGTCCGGTTTGAACTTAAGCCTTCTCAACCTATTCAGACGGACATATGCTTTTGCTGATGTCATCAATTTGTGTTTTGCAGCTGCCTTCACTCGAAAAATGTAATCCAAGGTGTTTGTGTGACTCGACAGTTTTGATTATATTACTATCCATAATTAATGACGGATGATGATCAGGGTCTTTTTTTCTAGATATTATCATTGATTCAGTTTTTCTCGGTTTAAACGTCACTAATAATTGGTTTAATGTAAATAATATAATTTCTACTTCATCATGGCGAATCTGCATTTTTTACAAAATCTTTATTAATTCAATTAAAAAACATGGATGAATCTGTCCAGTTTCTCAAGCTGTGTCACACACATGTTGTCCAGTGTGTAGCAGAATATAGTCGATCTCTGAGACAGTGATATTGGGTGTGCCAATACATGATATGTTATCAATACTTTTAATATTGCTTGTATAAACAGTCATCTATCTATTATGTATTTACTTTATTCTTTTTGCTCTCATACCGATATTTTGTTTGTAATTATGACGTTTACTTATATTCACTAATTGTATGTTCATTTAATCTCATTTATGAATGAATGATTTATCCATTATTTGATTCAATATTTATGATATTTGTGTATTGTCATCTCATTGCATTTTACCTAAAGTCATAATAATTAAATTATCTGTAATGTAAATTTAATTATTCTAATTAAATGATCAAGAAATTGATAATATAAAAAAGAGGTGATGTGGTATGATTGCCAATGAGACAACTATATATATAATCCACCAGAGTTAAAATAAAGTACTCCATTCATAATCCACAATCCCATTACAGACATTATAGACGGTCATATGACTTATTGACTGTTCAGCTTCTCTTCACACACAATCCGAGTTGTCTTTTTCGTCATAGATGCTCATTGGATCATTTATATAGTTTAAACCCTCATTTTATACTTTTTCTGAGTTGGCATTATAGACAGTCCGAGTTGACTTATTGACGGTCAAAGTTGTCTTCATAGACGGTCTGGGTTGTCTTTTTTGTAGACAGTTGGAGTGGTCTTGTACTCACTTATAGAATCTGATAAACAGACCTGTTGTCTCATTGGCACTCATACCACATCTTCTTATATCTACTAATTATGAAAACTTGCAATTGACTATAATGAACCATAAAAATGAGGTGCATATCAGATGGTCCCTGCAAGACAAACATGTTCACCTAAAAATCATTCCACACACCTATTGCTTATGATTTCAGATAAGGGACAAAACCATCAAAAATTAACATTGACCAATGAACAATGAAAATGAGGTCAATGTCTGATGAAATTAGCCAGACAGACTTGTACACCTTACAATCATTCCTTTAACCAAATATAGTGGCCCTCTTGTTTATAGTATCTGAGAAATAGACCAAACCAGAAAAACTTACTATTGTCCAATGAACCATGAAAAAGGGGTCAAGGTCAGGTGAAACCACAGAAATCATTCCTTACACCAAACACAGCTGATCTGTTTCTTATAGTATCTGAGAGACACACCAAACCACAGAAACTTAACATTGACCAATGGGCAATGGACCATGAAAATGATGTTAAGCTCAGATGAAACCAGCCAGTCGGACATGTACATCTTACTATCATTCCACACACCAAATATAGTTGACATATTGCTTATAGTATCAACCACAAAAACTTAACATTGACCAATGAACCATGAAAATGAGGTTAAGTTCAGATGAAACCTGCTAGTCTGACATCTAAGCCTTACAAACATTCAACACAACTGACCTATTATTTAAAGTATATGAGATATGGACTTGACCACATAAACTTAACCTTCATCACTGATGCATGAAATGAGGTCAATGTCAGGTGAACCCTGTCTGACAGACATGTAGACTTTGCAAGGATCCAATATACCGAATAGAGTTAAAATGAGGTCAAGGACAAAGGACATATAATAGACGAAAACTTCGTAACATGAGGCATATACGTTCAAGGTATGAAGCATCCCGAGGTCTTCTATCTTTTGAAATATAAAGCTTTTGACAAATAGTTTACGCCATCATCACCGCAAAATGAATAACTTGACCTGATTAGATTTTACAATAAATAACTTTGCACTAGTCGGGATAAAACGGAAAATTCTGCGGCACAAAATGCAGGAAACAAATGTGTACAAAAAAATTGGCTTCCTCTAACCTTAGTCTGTATAAATGTTAACTGCGAAAAAACGTAAGTCTTTTTATCATTATATTCGAAAAATTAAGAATTGCAAAAAACTAGGTCAGTTTTACAGTTATAGATACAGAAAAATAAAAGAAAACATAGTAATTGAAAATTTGCTCGACATATCTCTTGAACACGAAGAAAGTTCCGTCCAAGTTTCATTAACTTACATAAAGGTTTGAGAAAGTTATTAATGTCTAAAAAACTATAATCACAGACTGAATCCGGAACTGAATACAGAAAACCATGACAGAATCTAGGATGGGTACTTGTATGTTTCATCTTTGCATAAGGCATGACAGGTATTAAATTTAATAGTTCAAGTATCAAAATGAGTTTTGTATAGTATTTTCAATCAAATATCATTAACGTACTGGCTCCTCCAAGTCTGTAGCAATTACATGAAGCTTGTAAATTTTTCTGGAAAAATACTAGGTTCCCAAGTCTGGAATAATGTGAACAAATTTTTCAAAAATTCCATCATAGCAGGTGTACAATTTCAACCTATATGTATCTTCCTGTGAAGTTTCAGGGATCTGGGTAGAAAACTGTAGAAGTTAAAAATGTGTACCTTCTTTCATAAATTTTTCTTAAAAATGACTTAGATCCGAAG